CCCCCCAGCCCACTCACGCTTGCGGCCCAGGCTCAGGTGAGCCTCCAGCTGCTGCAGGCGGCTCAGGGTCCCGGAGCTGCCCCCGGAGCCGTTCCCGGCGCGGCTCAGCGCGGCCCCGGCCAACACACAGGCGTACTGAGCGGCCCTGCCCCCCCCCAGCCCACTCACGCTTGCGGCCCAGGCTCAGGTGAGCCTCCAGCTGCTGCAGGCGGCTCAGGGTCCCGGAGCTGCCCCCGGAGCCGTTCCCGGCGCGGCTCAGCGCGGCCCCGGCCAACACACAGGCGTACTGAGCGGCCCTGAGGACAACGAGGGAGTCAGCGAGGGGGGAACCGGGGATGTCACCCCGGTGCTTCGGACCCCTCCCGGTTCTCTGCGATCTCCTCTGGCCCAGAGCCACCCCGGGATTTTGGGATCCCCCTCCCCTGATTCCCCTCCCCGGGGAGCCGAGGCTGCACCTGAGGAGGCGCTCCCGGGCCTGGCTCTGGGCGCTGAAGCGCACCCAGGCCTCCATGGCGCGGGCCCGGTACCGAGCCCGGTACACCGGCGTCACTTCCGGTACCGCCGCGGCTCTTTCCCATTGGCTGAGGGCGGACCCGCCCGCTGCGACCAAAACAGTGCCCGTGAATGGCGGAATCTCCGCCTCTAAATCTGTGTCGAAGAGTTTGATTGGTTTCTTTCGCCGTTAATTGCTTCTCCTGATCAATAAGAGCGGGGCTGTCACCCCGTACCGTCATCTCTGCTGGTTTGTGCTTCCTGCATTTTGATTCGTTTATTCTCCTGTCAATCTAAAGTTTCCGAAATACGATTGGACAATGGCCCCCAAATCCCCGCCCCTTACCGCCCCACGACCACACACCGCTATTTGTGTTAGTGGGCGAGTGCGCCGCGCCCTGACCCCGCCCCTCGAGCCGCGCACCGCGTTGTGATTGGCCTTCTGATGCTTTCCCCTCCTCCCCCTCCCCGATCCGGCGCTCCTATTGGTCTGCCGGGCGCGGAGCGGCGCTGATTGACAGCGCGGCGCTGAGGAGGGAGCGCGGCGATGGAGGCGGTGCGGGCGCAGCGGCTGCAGCCCGGGGTGGGCGCCGGGCCCCGCGGGGCTCGGCCCGGCCTCACCGGGGCCCCCGCGGGGCTCGGCCCGACACCGGCAGCGGGCTCGGGGTTG